GTGTGAATTTTGTGCCCCTCCTTCCCCATCAAGCTTTAACAGGCATCGTCAGGTCCTGCGCCTGCCTACACCTCTGTCGCCTCCGGTATCTTATGCACCTCACGCACCTTCAACAACCACAGCGACTGAGGCGAAGCCTGTAACACCTCCAGTTCCTGTTCTTAATGATATGGTTAAGGCGCTGGACGAGGACTACACTTGATTATCACTCTCTCAAGCGTTCAAGGCACAGGTTTAAGAAGGATGACGTCCCCATATATGTCTTTGAGGTTGCGGACCAGGCTCATGTCACAGACGAGGACCTTCACACGATGAACACTTTCAAGATTCCTCATTCTCGGTTTGCCTTCATTGAGACGGAGATCACGGCTTCAGGTGAATCGCCTCCAGACGGTCGTGGATTAGCAGCAAAGTCAGATTGACCATATTCAAAATCACTTCAAAGCGGCCCTCAACGAAATACCTGGCCATCTTCAACGGGACTCATCCATGGTCTGCAACACCCCTTTTAATTACCAGATATCCGGTAAAAGGTGACTAACGGGATCGGGTGGTCAAGCGCGCTGACTTGGTTGATGCATGTCATCGATCCTAATTGCGTGGATGGATGTTCATGATGTCAATCACTGGATTGTCTGGTCCAATGGCGGTTATTTACAGACCGCCGTCATATAGCTGGAATATTGCTGAGTGCGGCGTAAAACAACAAACCAACAACCAGATATCCCACACCCATGCCAAGACGAGACGGTCCTTACAGCGCTGGAGCATGTGTCTCAGAACCTGGCGCACATCTTTACTAGGACAGGCAACTAACGCACTAGGCTCTCCTCCCTGAAAGACCAGGCTCCCGATCAGTCCTCTTTTCATGGCAGAGGACGCGGTATATGAAGACAACAGGGCACCTATCAGTCCTGCCGTGGCAAGTGCCGTGGCAAGTCCCAAGGCAAGATCAGGGACAGGAGGGGTAGACAATGAATCCTGGGACCATGACTGGGGAAGTCATCGACACCTAAGTAGGTAGGACACTGGGCCTCTCCTGGTAAAATTAGATTGGATTTGGCAGAAGCATTTGTTTTAAACATACCACGCTACGGGTACCGCCCAGACCTGGCTGTGCATCCACTATTGACCATGGCGCCATCACCATGGCTCTACGAAAGGAAGCAGCATTACCTCCAGACACTGCGATCAAGATCTGTCGCCTGCCCTTCAGTAACCCCTTACGGTGGCTGGTGCTTCTGGGATTGCTCACATCGGCCCAGGACCTGACGAGCAGAGGTCGCCTACAACTAAGGCTGATCCAACAGTTCTAAGCACCTTACACCAGACCGCAGGATCCCTCTGTGTCCTCCTATTCTACTACCTCATCTCAGGAGTCATCACAGATGGTAGACGGTAGAGTCGAACGTCGAAGGAAGTATCTCCTTACCAGAGTTATCCCCAATGTCACACCTGTTCGTAGACGCATAGATGATCTAAATGATCAGACGACTTAAGGGTTGTGGCACATCAACAACCTGGAGCTGAAGGCACTCATCTTATCAGTACAGTAAGTGTTTGGGTTCTTGCATTGAAATTTCCCATTAATAAAATGTAATCACTCTTAGCTTGCATGTTTTCATCCAAGAAGTACATCGCGTTCATCAAGTTGATCAGTTTGTTTTCTGGAGACCAATCATATCATATCGGATCAGTGAATTGAGTAATATATTCTTAGTACATTAATCTCCTTCTAATTCAACAAACATTGAGGCTTGTAGATTATGTAAAGATTTAGAGAAACGTATACCTTGATTGGAAATATTGCCAGCATTGTTTAACTAACCCACTGTGTTATGCATTGATTTATTGGGTAGTTGGGTTGCATTTTGGCTGGAGACATTAGTATGATTAGAAACACAGTTGTCATGGCAACTGTTAACATAAGACAAGTCATGCGCAGAATATAACTCCTTTCAGATGGACCCCACGAACCAGTAAAGTCACTATCAGTAGATTTTATCAGAACATTTGTTTTTGAGGTATCAAATGCCTCATGAAAGTCAATTATATTACATGAATTATGATCAGTCTTGGATGAGTGATAGGTGCTGCTACTCACATAAGATATATTTACTGTTGAATGGGGTTGGTCTGTCTACCCACGTTCACACCAATACCACTAGTAGAACAGTCACAAGTGTCAGTTTGTCCTTTATCTGATGTGCTAGTAGTGTTACAACTGAATACATGGGATGGCACTCAAGACCACCATCGTGCCCCCATTTCCAGCTGTTATAAATGGTGTTTAGGACTCTATGATGAAGGTACAAGCACATTACTGAGTCTGTTTTAAATAAATGTGCTTTTTTTGTTATCTCTCCTAGCTTCTACCAGTGTAAGCATCACTACACCATACCTGTACCTGCTTACCTCTTCTTGGAACTGCTAAAATATGCTGTACTCCTTTCCTTTTTGTTCCCAGACCTTTTCTTCGCATCCCTCTAAAATAGTGTACATAAATTTCGCAACCACAGGGCATCATTTCTTTGATGGTGAGGCCTGCTGTATCGCCACAGGCGAGGAACACGCTTGAGTATAATGTAACCACCAGTACTCATGTGTAACTACACTTTTATGTAATGTTTGAGTACTTTTTTCACACTGTTCGTAACCAGAATCTAAATCAGTTTCAGGTATATGGGTGAAAACGAGGTTATCTTACATGCTCCAACACCTAGTATCAATAATGGATTTATTCAGTCTCAAATTCTCTAAATGTGTACCTGCACTTGCTAGGCCTGGAATGTTAACTGATCTTTAAGATTTCTTATATTCTTTTCATATCGGACCCTGTCCCTCTGCCATTCGCTAAAACTGGTACTGACAAATTCAATGCTTTCTCCCCTTCAAATCAAACTCGCGATTACATTCTAAGGGGGCGAACATTCACAACTCAGGCTTGAGTGGCACGCATATGAAGAATGGAGATTCGTTAGCATCTGTGACCACTTAAAAGGGTCCATTTGAGTGAACAATGACACAGTATGTGGCACAACGTTCCGGCTTTGGACATGAGCACCAACTGGACAGTTGGTTAAGAGTACATCTATATTCCATCACGCAAACGATTGTCGACATCCACGGAATATGTTACAAATATGTAACAGAAATAAGTGAGATGTAATGGGGGTTAACGTCGCGTGATCATTGTACTTCTAAAACAACGTACATGCACGTATGTGTGGGTGGGTTGCTGCATGTACTAGTCCGGATGGCTCACTGAGATACCATGCCACAGTTTAACATGAATACCCCACTCAGACACAGTATACGGACTTCGAGCCGACCAGTCCTTGCTTTAACCCTTTAATGCCGAGCGCCAGACAGGGTAACAACAAGTACCATCTTTTAACGTCTTTTGTTGTGACGCGGCCGGGGATCGAACCACCAAAGCCCCCCGCCTTTGGGCTGACGCTATATCACTAAACCACAGAGGCGGTCCATGGAACAGAAATAAACAATAACAAAGAATACCTGAACATTATAGCATTTTAATACAGTTGGGCAACGAACAATTGGAGCTGAATTGTGAGTGAGTGAGTGAGTTGGGTTTAACGCCGCTTTTAACAGTATTCCAGTCATATCACGGCGTGTCAGCTTAATGTGAGAGGAAAGCCCGAAGTGATGCAGGTCTCAGACGTTTACCACTTCGGTGAAACCCACGAGCACGGGTATGGTGCTGACAAACCTAGAAACATAATCGGGGCGAACCGGGATTCGAACCCACAATCAGAGGTTTCTGGCGTGCCTAAGGGACGCAACTCTGCACAGCGAATCTCGGCGCCTTAGACGACTGGGCCACCCGTGCCCCCAGCTGAATTGTGGGAAGAGGGTGTATGTGTTAATTCCACAGATGAAGCATTTACGTTTGCAAACTGATAGGTTGGGTGCTCATGTCAGAGAATTTCCTAACCAGCAAGGAAAAGGTAAAGTACTGCAGGTAAGGTACTGCATATCAAACAAATTTGAACTATTTTAAAACTTAAGAATCATGTGTCATCAGATATGATATGGATGATATACTGAAATTACAGAATCAGCGCATGCTTGTTTGTTCGTTGATTTAGAAAGAGGGTCTGGAAAATAATCTGAGCCAGACAAACCAGTTGCTGATATTTTTAGCTTCGTCCAACGACCACCAGGCATATTCGCATTTGTCAGCAAGGAGAATGTACTTTTGAATGTTGGTCAATGCAATTTGCTTATATCATGGTGCAACAGTGAATTTTAATAGTAGCAAAATATAGTTTTGTCACAGATACCTGTCCATAGAAGATACCTTACAAGAAATCCTGCTTATCTATTTGATAATAATACCAAGTATACCGGATGATGCGATAACACTATGCATTACTAGTATATAATAAATAAGGAAATATTTCTCGGTCACATTTTTTAAAATAAGGGAGAGCAGACACTGTTTGTTTGTCTATCTAGAAAAAAAGTAACAATGGATGTCTTTTTTTCTCAATACATAAACCAGCCATATGGAATTAGCTTTGGTAGTCGCTACAACACGTATCGTCCAAAGCATATCGGTGTTTCTGTTCAGGCTGTTCGAACAAGGCGATAGGCTCTATCGTCACTTTCTGTAATTCTCTTTTTAAACCAGACTCAAGACATTATGTTCATGTTCATGAACGGATGACCATGAATAAAACGCCTTACTCCAATTCTCTGTCAGAAACAAGCTGGTAATCGGTGGAAGAATATTTTGTATGCTTACGGATAGATACACATACACGACGATGTGTTTAAGAGAAGCCTTTTTTTCCTTTCGCGTTTCCATTGTCGCGTGATCACCGAAAGGATGTAGAGCCGGTGTCACGAAATATATTTCCCCCAGAATAAAATCCCCCCCGGCGAATTTATACCGGTACAGTTCCGCCCCTCTCGAAATATACTCTCCCCCACCCTACGAAATAAAATCTTCCCCCAGAATATTTCCTCGCCCGGTCGTTTTATAAATACTTGCCATGCAGTTCAATAGTTGCCTTTATAATAGTTGCATTATATCAAATTAAAGTTGGGTCATCATTACAATAGCTATATCATTTCAGGAATGACGTTTTGGCTGCATGGACCCCAGGAGCTGTCAGGTTGCAAGGATTTCCTCAGTCTCTGTGAAGAATAATTGTGAGAAACGATATTCAACGATCAATTTCAGTTGAAAAGCATAAGTAACATTGAACATCTCACATTCTCACATCATATTTCTGAAGGCAAGCATGCTTGGCACATTACGTCAGGTTACAATAACTGTACAGAAATTCTACTTGTTGTGGGTTGTGTCCTGTGAAAAAACGTCTTTCGAACGCAAAAGCTTTTATGATCATTGAAATGTATTGTTACCTCACCATATCTATAGAAACAGAAATAATGTGAACAAAACTACTTCATTATTGTCGCCTCAAATGGTCCTTGCTCAATCACGCCATTGTGTAAATATATGGAGGACAAAGTCATGGACGAAAGAAAGGGACGTTAATGACAATTATGTTACCAAGAATTAGCGTTCAAGTATTAGAACTAGTACATATACTTGGTCAGTTTAAAGGACATGACTGCTTATTTGTAGTTTTTATTTATGTCAAACGTTGATTTACGTGTTAAAAGAGCTGATATTACACCTGGAAAAACAAACTAATTTATCTCAGGAAAGAGCGAACTCAGTTTGATCAAACACATTAAACACTGCATACTTATTATAAATGGGCAAACAGATTGTAATAGTGTATTGTTTGCTTAAAGCCAGTTTAATCACCTGCAAAAAACTACCCTCCTCTCTGATAATGGCTGAAAACATCATTACTACCAATGGGATGCATGGAATGGTTGCTAGGCACCAGCCAATAGTGGCAGCGTAGTCAGGATAAACATAACCGTTGTATGTTGGAGACTGGTACTGGGCCAGGGTGACGATGGATATTGTCTGGAAGGGCAAGAAAAATGGGAGATGTCATAAAAAGTTCGACTGTCGAGTAAACTTGGCAACATTAAATTATAACCTTGGTTTTCATGGTTCTCACTCGAAGATAAATTATTCGTTTATTTGTTTGTTATTATTAAATGTTTGAGTGCCGTTTTGGCATCTTAACTTGGTAAAAATAATGAAAATGATGTAATTAATCTTCCATTTGTAAACATACATTTATACATGAAATGAACCATGTTTGAGTATGCATGACAACAGGCCAATAGGTGACACTGTTTTACATGTAACGAATATAAAAATTACGTGTACTAACTTCACTTAACTGTAATATGGCTTTTCTCAGGATTTAACATATGTCCCTTACCAGAAGAATTGTGGGCGTAATGTAGCGCCATGCGATTCTGAAGAACATTGGAGCTGGTTTTCCTGTCATCAGTTCAATGTCTGCACTGACACGGTTGACTCCTTAATGTATAAGGAACACAATTAGTGCTGATCATATTATTGTTCATCATTAAAGAATAGTTTGCATTGTAAAACATTATTGTTATTTCACACTGAATGTCAAGTGAGCGCATTGTTCGCCGTCCCCACATCTGGTTGTTCTCTGTGACAGCTGAAGCCTTTAGGGAATGACCACAACCATGGCATCTCTAAATAAGAACCCAGTATTCAAATCCGATTATAAAACATGGACGCCACGGCGGCCATGTTGGAAATGTCATTTTGACCCATTACTAAGCCATTGCTGCATGTATCATTTTTATGCAGCCAATATATGGTGTGTGGAATACCATTTATTATATACTTCAGTTTGAAAGACTGCGTTTTCTGAATTTGAGAAAAATGATAATTTTACTGCAGTGAACATAACACTTTGACAGAACTATTGTTATACAAGAGTTGCCTCCCTGCAAATTGTCTCCCTTTATTGCCTAGTCCGTACACAAAATGTTAGTTCCACATTGACAAAGCAAAATGACACATGGTCATTTATGATTTTGTTCATTTATGAACGCTTCTTGCCATTTGATAGTCTCTTGAAAATGTTCCGTTATTATTATTAGATTTCGTGAACGTGTCTCCTTCCCCCGTCACTCAGTTTTACTAGCGATACTGCATTTTTTTCTAAATGTTCTCTGATACTTCAAGGCCTACAGAGCTGCATCTGATGTGCATGATCCTAGCTTTTGTGGCCCTAAAGTCTGCTCACAGAATTTCAGTTCAAATCAGCTTAATGTTCGCGGACAGCCGAAAGTGATGCTTGTCTTCGGCGTTTACTACTTTACTAGCATGGGTACAAACCTGAAAACATTTTCAGGGGAATTTTTGGATTCGATTTCCTGGCCATGGCTTCTCTGTTCACGTTCGTTTTCAAGAAATAGTGACGTTTAAAATGCTTTGTACGACAATCATAAAACTTCCTGTGGAGGCTTTGTCAGACAGCCACGGTTATAGGTTTTGATGAAACTTTTCTTATTCAAATGAGTTTTTCAAAGCCCAATGGCAGCCGATAGTGATTTCTGGAACAAATGCGAAAATAAAAGCTCCCGTTACAATCATGAGTTGGTATACCTTGCAGAAAAGGGGAATAGATTGCTTTAGATCCTTACCATAAAACCATCCAAGAACTACGCACTCCAGAAAACCACAAAAAAAGAAGAATATCGCGGCGAAGTACCAGTCAACCAGTGTGAAAACGTACATTCCGCCCTGCAACATATGGACAGATATAACACAAATGTCTTTAACATTGTGATCTTATTATGTGAAAAGAGTCATCTACAGGAGTGTGTCAAATGGTCTTGTTTATGCACCTGACTAGGAAACATATTAAGGATGTCAACTTCTTAATATGGGGAACATAACGTTTCGGAGTATATGCTTACTCCTTCATCGGGTGAATTAATGCCATGAGACAGAGACCATATATATATATATATAATCGATATATAATAATTTGAATATAATCGACGACCTAGACACCAAACTCACAATAGACAGCAGCATCAACCTAGCCACCAGCTGCTTTGACACATCATACTTCACCTTCAACGACATGATTTACGTATGGGCTCCCCTCTATCCCCTCTCATCACTGAAATCTTTATGACATTCTTTAAAGAATCATCCCTCGCCACAGCACCATTCCAACCCCTCTGCTGGTACCGAAAAGTAGACGACACATTCACCACTATCCCCCGCCAGAACGACCCCACAAAGCTCCTCAAACATCTCAACGCCCAGCACCAGAGAATCCAGTTCACCATGGAGACCGAAACTATTCGACACCTTCCTCCAAACCAAAGATGATGGACTAAGAGCATCAGTGTACCACACACACAGACCAGTACATCCACTACAACTCCTTCCACCATCCCCAGATAAAACAAGCCATCATTGCCACCCTCACCCGACGTGCCAAATCCATTTGTTACCCTGATGCCCTCAGCAGTGAACTGGGCCATATCAAGGAAACCATCACTTCCCTCAACAGCTATCCTGCCCACCTTGTCTCCAAAACCATCCGCAAGACCCTCAAGAACTCCGACCCCAGGCCCAAACCAGCTCCGTCGCCCATCAAAATCACCATACCCTACCAAGGCCCTGTCACTCATCAGATTTCCCGCCTCATCAAGAATAAAGCCAACATAGATGTCACCTTCTCTAGCGGCAACTCCATCAAGACCCATCTACAAGCAAATGGCATAGACACTAGCAGGGCGAGTCCCAACCCCCGAGGATGTATATACCAGATACCCTGCAACTGTGGCCACCATTACATTGGAGAAACCCTTAGAGTCCTCAACACAAGATTCAAAGAACATCGGACCTCTGTAAGCAAACTCGACCGGAAATTCGCTATTCCCTAACACATCCTGAAGAACATAAACCATAACATCATGTGGGAAGTCACCAAAGTCCTGTCTACCAACAACAACAACTGGCGACAAAGGAAACTACAAGAAGCCATTGACATCAGGAGACACCAGCCAGCCATGAACCGTTACCAGGGAACCTATCAGCCTAGTGCTTGGGACTTATTGCTTTGATCTTTGTCTGGGCAAATTGCCTAGCTGGCTTCAATTTGCCCCTTGCTATGTCCATTCTTACACCTATCAGTGCTAATTTCTTTAATTAATAAAGAAGTTGACATCCATATATTCTCTTCCTTATGTGAATCACTTCTAAATGCCTTTCAAAGACCAGAAAACATATTGCACTACAAACCTCAGTGGTGAATATGAGGCCCAGTAGAAAGGATGCGGCACAAAACACAGCATTTATAGCCATTCTCCATTTCAGAAGGATGGGGTATTCATCCATAATGGCTGATACCACAGTTTCAACCATGGACATCTATATAAAGACAAAATGATATAACATAAATCGTTATTTGATTTAAGATCCTTCGACTTGAATATGAGGATACAGGTGAAAGCGACAAAACCCTCTCCATCTTCAGAAGAAAATTCGATTGTCGATTATACGATTCCAACTATATCTTGAGCTTTATGAATCAATATTAAATAGTGATGATACCAGATGTTTGCGAAAAGGTGAGGGTACCCTGCCCAACCTGTGGAAACTGTCAAAAACACATGCAAAGGAAAGTCACCAGTAAGAACACGGGAACATGTGGTCCGAGTCAAAAGAAGGAATTGCATCGGACATAATTTTTCTCACTGATGCGTCCAATTTTGAAATGTACTCCATATGTCTACCATACAACTTTTTGAAAGTTTTACTGAGTCCTTTAATGTTGTAACCTTGATCAAACAACTTCTGAGCAAGAGTTGTATGACGCCCTTTAAAATCCTGGTGGAAAGAGCATGCTCGATTGTACCTCAAAAAGTGTGAAATGAAGACATGAAGGGCTGGAGCTGCAGCTGCAGTTGCTCGACATAAAGGGAAAGTTAACTATTGGAAAGTCATCCCTCTTGTCATGCAGTCTTGTGGAAAGTGTTTTGTCTTTATGCATATATCTAAATATGAAGCAGATGAGGCAGTCTCACTGGTCTCCCTAATTTCTTGTCCAGTTGGGTAAATCATTAGAAGGAAATTGACTATTTGATGGTAATTGAACGATATTGCATCATCGATATACCTGAGCTATATAAGGTAAACTTCTTAAATTAAATGTCTTGCCCCCATATTTTACATAGATGTTATCAATAAGGAAGTTCAGCTTTTACACATTGTTTTCTCAGTAGGAAATGTGCCGATTGCATCAACTGATTTTATTGAAAAGTTCAGTTTTCTTGCTTTTTCTTTACAAAACATTTGTGATTCTCACATACGTGTATATATAGATGTGTGTCTTTTCCGTTCTGTTGGTACGACAAATAATTTCTCACCATTGAATCCAGAACTAAGAGAACAAGCATTATAAAGAAGACAAAACTCCATATCTGTGGCAGTGGAAGTTGAGCCAAGGCTTCTGGATAAATAACAAATCCTAGTCCTGGGCCTGGAATAGATACACAGATGGTAAATACATGTGAGAGAAAAGCAGGGTAAGGGAATTCAAATTAAACCTTTGGGTCATGTCCTAGCTTGGGCTAGCTGTCCTGAAATTAGATGACATGAGAATATTTCGCTGCCTTTAGTACATGATTATGTTAACTTACTATTCAAAAGGAAAATCAAAAGGAAAATCAGTCTCGAATATCTGCCAAAACAGATTCCTTGGAGCAAAAAATTAAAAATAATGATGGGAATTATATGAATGAAACCCGTGAAGATCTGGGCTCAGCAACCAAAGCTTGTCGCAAAAGGTGACTATGCTTGTCGCAAGAGGCGACTAACGGGATCGGGTGGTCAGACTTGCTGACTGGGTTGATGCATGTCATCGTACCCAAATTGCGTAGATAGATGCTAATGATGTAAATCACTGAATGTCTGCTCCAGACTCGATTAATTACAGAAAGACGTCACATAGCTGGAATATTACTGAGTGCGGCGTGAAACAACAAACAAACAAGCAACAACGACTATATGAATGAATCACTGGAAATCAGTGACGGGGTATTCGCGAAGTGGGTAAGCAGGTGTTGCTCTACGAGTAGTACCCGCCATTCACACAATCTTCATTCAAATGTAAATGCCAGTGAGTACCGAGGTTGAAAAACATAGTATCAGACAGCATGACGCGACATTTTGACCATCTTCCCGAGGCAAGCGTGTCCACTAGACTATATCAAAGTGTAGCTTCCACCCTCGCCTTTTCAAACCTTCTTTTATGTGCTAAGATATGAGTTGACAATCACACATATCTATAGTCCTTTCAGAGAATGTTTTACACAATCATTAACCATGTTCCGAAAATGCGGACACTGCTATGGCAACATGTCGAATTTGCGAAGAAATTATTCCAGAAATCAAGTAGGGACAAATAGTTTCGAAGAGGTTCAAAGCTTCAGTCAACTCGCCCAAGTACTTCATATTTACTGAACCGCAAAAGAAACGTCACCATGGATAGATAATGAGAAACCGTATTTGTCCAAACACTGTAAACATACTTTGAGACACATTAAAAAGATTAAAAACGGCAAAACTGATCATCAAGGTTGAAATTAAAGTGACAAATGTTCTTAAAGTGCAATACAACACTAGTCTCTGAGAAAATGGCATCACAAGTCAGTATCTCGTGTGTCCGCCATGTGCATTGATGACTGCCGTGCAACGTCGATACATGGAATGGATGAGGTGGTTGATGAATGCCATGGGCACTTGGGCCCACACCCTGAGGAACGCCTGACGCAGTTCAGCTGCAGTTGTCGGGCTTGGTCGGACGTCGTTCAGCCGTCTTTGAATCTCGTCCCACAGGTGCTAAATCGAGACTGAGGGCAGGCCACTGATGCAATTCTAATCGAGGAAGTCTCTTGTTGCTCTCGCAGTGTGGGCATGGGCGTTATCATGCTGAAAATCGTGGTTGCGGCGAAATGTGCCAAATGAGGTAGAGCGTGTGGTGTCAAGACATGATCAATGTACCGAGCTGCTGTGACACCATTGCCTCTCCCTGGACCGATGTTATGGAAGACCACATGGCCGACCCTCAGTGAAGACTAATTCCAACCCACACTAAGATGCTTGGACCATCCCACGGGTCTCTCTCAACAACACAAGCTTCCGAATAACGTTCCCCACGGCGTCGCCAGACTCCCCCTCTCTGCCATCTGTTGAGATACAGTAACAGCTCTCGTCTGAGAACAGGGCTCTTCTCCAATGCTGGCGGCGTCAATGCTGATGCTGTGTTGCCCACTGAAGACGGACCCGGCGATGACGTGGTGTCAGAATGGTGTGGCCTGTGACAGTGGAGGTGTCTGCTTGTCAATTGTCAACGCACGGTGTCCGCACTAATGTGTCGCTGGTGTGTCCCCATGGTCTGTCGAGCAGTTTCCGCAGCAGTAACAAAGCGATCTTGGAGATGCTGTCGCACAATCTGACGATCCTGACGTCGGGTGGTAACCCTTGGTCTTCCACTACGTGGTCGGTCATCTGTACTGTTGGTGGTCTGGTACCGTTACTGGAGCCTGAATAAGGACCTGGGCTTGAAATGCATTGGCTACTTGCCGGGCGGTTTCTCCAGCTTGCAATCGTCCAAGGGCTTGGTGTCTCTGATTGCTTGTCAATCTTGGCATGTGGATGCAATTCAATAACGAATGAATGTTATCCGATCCGGGTGGATTTTTATAGGGCAAGAAATGGGGGAACGCATGTGCATTTCAATTTGCACATAACTCACGTGCATCGTGCAGTTGGGCGATCGGTTTTATTGTCTGTCATCTGCTTTGGTTTTTTATCATCAAATTTCAATTTCCGAACCAGATAATGTAAAACTTAGAAAATTTGACAAAAATTACCTAGATATCTCAAAGACAACTTTTCATGCAATGTTACTTGGGGTGACGTTTCTTTTGCGGTTCAGTATATTTAAATGCCAACTCAGATAATGAACGCTCATGGCGGTGAGTGAAATGCAGTGCTATTTTTAGACAACTCTGCGCTGAGCGTTCCACAATGGGCAGTGTCACTTAATACTGTGTTGTCTCACTGGTCAATATGCCTCTGTTATTCTAGAGCAAATTTCGTCAGAAACAAGTATCTTCACTGTGGGAATCTGTCTATGTGTTTGTCTTCCAGGGATGACATCTTTTATCTTTTTGTGATCTGATCAACCATGTCGTCTGCTGTGGTAAAAATGGTAAATGTGGTTGAAATGGCAAGGGTAGAAACTGGGCAATACAATCGGCAAAACAACTGATTTTGGCCGAGATTTTTGGTGGAGACTCTTGCCTCTTGAAGGTACATGATGACAAGGGACGTCTCGCATTTAATTCCCCTGAGTGTCTACAATATGTTGTGGAAAGATTTAACCATGCCTTTGATTGTGAAATCTTTTTTTTGAAAAGCTAAGTGGTAAGCAAACTGTGTCGTTCCGTAAACTGTGAAGAAACTGTATTGCTCTAAAATGCATAAGCACTTGAGAAATGTGGACGCCATAAGATGAACTGATGATAAGTTGCTCGACAGTAACGGGAAATTAACAATTGGAAAATCGACATCATTCCACTACGTCAATAGCTGCAAGACATACCTGAGGACACAACATCTGTGATGGGCACACCTGCGCTATGAGCCATGAAGCCAAGAATGGAAAAAACAACTCCACCGGCAAACAAGCTTGTTCCTGCACCAACGCACGTACAGATGATTGCATTCCTACCAAAAAGCAGACATGTAATATGAAACACGTTAGTGGTTGAATAAGAGCAACAGTTAAGGGATATTTTTTATGAACAGTGACATCGAGCTTTATTTGAAATGAAGCGATATAGGTCGTAGGAGTGAGTGAAATAAAATTTAACGTCGCATCGGCATTATTTCAGCCATATAGCGACAGGACGTAGGAAATGAGATAATTTAGTAATTGGAATACTTGTAGGAAAGATTTGGTTTTTAAATGATGACAAATGGAAGATAATAAACCAAGACAAATGCAGTATCAGTGTTTCCTTGATATTGTTAAGTAATTCATCATGATGAAATGTCTTGTAACAGAAATGCTTGTTGCACATCATGAGTGTATTGTAGGTTGGATGTGTGTAAATGTGAACTTTACCTGCTCTCATGCGTTCTTATAAATAACATATAGAAATTCCCTTCCCTATCTGCCTAAAGTATTGAAGTATTGGTGCAGGCTGTTCTATATGGATAGTTGTCGATACCCAAAAGCATGTTATTCCCTATCTGCCTAAAGAGGCTTATATATTTATGAGTGCTGATGTTGACTTGGAGATTTGGTTAAACGTGATTTAATGACAGTTTAATCACGTTTTTTTATCATAAACATGTATAATCCCCATGACGAATCCTAATCTGACTAGAATAAGTTTGTTTGTTTGTTTAACGCCGCACTCAGCAATATTCTAGCTATATGACGGCGGTGACGAGAATAAGATATTTCTTGACTATCAATTATAAATTCGACCACAAAATATCAAATGTTCTTTGACAAATTGAAGATTTTGTTTATGTTTTGCAATTCGAGGATTTTAATTATATGCGAGTCTTTTGTTGTTGTTGTGGTATTGGTTGTAAAATCTTGAACGAAGCACATGTATATTTTAATTTTGTCACTCAAACGAGAACTACAACTGCATATCATGCAAACCTTTCACATATATAATACTATTTATTAGTTCAGATTTTGTACCAGAACCCATAAACAATCTCAAATGCGGAGATTATCATTACCATTTCATAAGTGTGTACATAATGTTTATGATCCCTTGACTTAAACGTAGTTTGAAGAGGAACAGTAGAAACGTCGACCGGTCATCACGTTTCGCTTCCTTAACATCATTAATAAACCATGCTGTTTAACTACTGAACCAATGGTTAAAAAAATATTTTCAAACCCGTTTTAATGTTCGTGAACGACATGATCACTGTGGGCAGATGGAAGTTAGTAAATATCATCCTACCTCTTTTGCTGACTGAGGAATTTACACCATGAGATTGGAAGTGATAATTTTGTGATGAAGAAGGCCAAGAGAGAAGTACACATTCCGTAGCAAACGTGTTGTTATACATGCAGTCTGAGGTCTAGCTTGGCTGAACTCATTGATAACTTAGCATGTTTGTAATGTGTACGTCCGGCTGCAGAATGTCATCACAATAGCGTGTGTATGGTGGGGTAGCCGAGTGATTAAAGACGTCGCTCGTCACGCCAAAGCTCGGGTTCGATTCCCCACATGGGTACATTTTGTAAAGCCTTTTCTGGCGCCACCATAGTGTAGTAATATTGCTAAAAGCGCCGCGATAGTGTTGAATATTGTCAAAATCCTCATAATAGTGTTTGGCGCTTATGCTGGCTTGCATTTTCACCAAGTTTGTTCTAGTGTGCGATATTATCGCCCTTTTCAATACGCTGCAATTGAGAGTTTTTTTATTTCCTGTATGCAGTTAGCGACAATTCGTTCATGTCGACGTTGGTATAGAATGGTTCTCCCATTTCGATGCTGCATGAACCTATGCATTTGTCACTGAAGGATACTTGTAACTTAAATACTCTTGATGGCAATTTTAAATCCAAATCAATCATCGTAACAAACATTTAAAATTATGACACAAACAGTAATAATGATATATTTTTCACTACCTTAGACAGTTGCTATTAAATTTGTTAAAGCTGGACAATGTGATAACTCCTCCCCATGCAGGGCCAAGAGAGAAGAATACTTGAACACAGGCTTCGATCCACACCTACAAGAAAGTATTCGGTTACGCGGATAATCTCTCCAGATTCGTCTATTTTATAGCTTGAAAATAATAAATTCGATGAAACCAAAATGTCAGTTTAATTCATTTAACATCATTTTAATACTTTATTGGTAAAAAATATGTAAATATGGATGAGTGAGTGAGTGAATTATTTGGGTTTAACACCGCTTTTAACAGTATTCCAGTTATATCGCAGCATGTGAGCTTAATGTTGGAGGAACGCCCGAAGTGATGCAGGTCTCAGACGTTTATGAATATGGATGTCATATTTCATCTTTATTTGACTCATCGTGAGCCATTTAATTGTAAATCGTTGAAAGATAATAATAAAACTTGCTTCATTCACCTGTATGTTTGATAATTTGCTGAAATTAGGGGTAATGTAGAACAGAGCACCGTCTGTTCCACCAGGTAAAGTCAGTCCACGGACAAGAAGGATGAAAAGTAAACCATATGGAAGTGTCGCTGTCACGTACACAACCTGCAACACAGTAACCACAGGTCATCAGTAATTCCCACACTCCACTATATTAATATTATCTTTCATATTCAAATAACATCTGCAGAGGGAGAAAGGTGGTTTTGGCACAGCCTGTCCAGGCTCATCGCCCGATCAATGTGCTTACCCCCTCCATTATTACATAAGCTGCAAATACTTCAATGGCAAGGCAAACTACAATATGTCCTCGTCATTCAAAGAATTGAGTGAATCATACATTTTGGGTTCATCATGTCTTTATCGAACTGTCAACAGCTGCAGGGGTCAAACTAAAGACATGGTGACAACACAAACTCGGTTATTTACATTATATTTATATTGATCATGTCCAATGGCATTTATAATTGACACCAAACATGCAGCTGCTCAGCCATGTAAATAATAGAGACAAAATCCTTTCCCTTTTATAAGATTTGTTTTGCCTAAAATGATTGCACAGTCATGATACCAGGTGTTCGCGAAAAGCTGAGAGTGTACTGCCCCACCGGTGGAACCCGTCACGTACACATGCAAAGGCAAGCTTAAGTCAAAATAGGGAATTGCATCGGACATCATTCTAGTCACCGATGCGTCAAACTTCGAAATGTCCTCCACATGTATACCAAAAAGCTTGTTGAAAGCTTTACTTAGGCCTTGAATGTTGTAACCTTGATCAAACAACTTCTCGCTCTTTGAAATCTTGATAGAAAGAACATGCTTGATTGTACCTCAAAAGTTAAAATGTAGACACCAAGGGCTTGAGCTGCATGAATATTGCTTGACACACTGTAGATAGATCTAACTATGAAACAGATGAAGCGGTCTGACCTGTTTCCTCTAGTGCTAGTACAGGTTGGTAAACCAATGGAAGTGATTGGCTATTTGATGTTTTTTGAACGATATCAGGTCATCGATATACCTGAGCTAAAAAGTTAAACTTCTCGGCCAAATTGCTTTCTTTTGACTTTGCCAATCCGAGCAGAACTTCTTATTGACATGCATAAAAATCAGGTCAGCAAGAAAGGGAGCGCAAATTGTGCCCATGGAGATGCCTACTTCTTGCCTAAATGTCTTGCCCCAGTCGAGCATGTCACATATTGTTTTCTCAGATGGCATTTTCTTTCATTTCTTTTTCAAATTAACCTGAACCTCTGAAGATATATATGTAACTACATTTATTGCTATATGGCAGTGTATTTATTGTTAAACAATTATTGTAACAGTATTACATTGTTTCTGTTGAGATTCAGTAGAAGTTCACTGCATTGTATTTGGACAATGATTAGTTGTCAGGAATGTAGTACTACTTAATGTAAGCAGGGGTGAGGAATTATATTATTATATTTAGATGCTAGTGTGATGTGTAAACTTCCGAAAAAGCGTGGACTGATGTGGAGCTTTAGAGAATGTTCTGGAAGATCAAGGGACGAGTGCGTGCCTCTTGTATATCATCTCACATTTCATCTGACATTACATCAAGACCAGCTTTTGTGTGAAGATCACATTTCACCCTGGATTCCTAGCTTGGGCCTGTCTCGGAAGCTTGACCACTGTTGCGGCGAGGTGATTATTATTCTTGTCATTGTCATTTCCACTGCTCTCACATTTTATACTGCCATTGAATTTTGTCCTTCCACTCTGTTGTGTACTGCCATTGTAATTTCTGTGCATTGATTTGCATTGATTTGTAAACCTAGATAATTTTGTAATACAATTGTCGATTGTATATCATTTGTAGTTTGATTGTTGGTTTCACACTACGTATTATTTCATCATTTACGTACAGATTTCTGGGTTAAACACATTGTTTCAGTTTGGGTAATCGACACATCACACTATGGTCATCACGTTTTCTAACAAAAGCCCCATGGATCAAGGGATGTAAGTTTTCCATAAGTTTGTCATCAGGGATGGTGATGTACAACATTGAAAAGTCAAATGTGTTGACAAAATAGAACATGGTTTTTTTCTGAGATTGTAAAAAGTGAAACAAATCCTTTGAGCTTTCCACATGGTATTAATTCCACTTGTCTCAAATACTTTCTGTGAATATAATGAAAGTCCCTTCCTTGACTGTATTAAGGATTATGGTTAATCTTTGAGACAGGGATTTGGTGGTACATTTGATGGACCCAGCAATATATATCTGTCGGTACAGATTTTTATGGAGCTTTGAAATCCAGTACAAAAAGAGGAGTGGACACGTCTTCAGGTCAAAAGTTGATGGTACTGATGTATGGTTTTGACAGATTTCTTACTCAGTTAATAAACTGGTCTCATGTGTGGCATTATTTGATATGTCACTTATATTAAGTGCTTAAAGCAGAGTCCACTGTGCAATTCCATCAATATCAATACCAACGTTCCGCTAGCACTTCGTCACTAATGCGTCAAATATGGTCAATATACAACTAATTGATGTTTGTTCGAAATAGCTATCGTGTTAGTCAATCTTATAATTGAACAGAGATGTCTTACCTTTCCGACGGACCTGACACCCTTAACTAAAGTCGCAAATATGAGAAACCATGAAGCAAAGAGACACAGAGCCAGTTCCCACTTGATGCTTCCCAGCTGATCCAGACCTGAGCTGATGCTGAGGACCTTGTATCTGAAGACACATCACTCAAAGAATCAAATACGGAAAGAGAGCGTTTATTTGTTTGTTTCTGTAACGCCGCACTCAGCATTATGTCAGCAATATCCCGAAGGCCTGTAAATAAGCTAGCCGGGTCCAGAAAAAGCAGTAATAGATACGTCATCGGGCTACGATAACACGCCATCAAACAAGTCATCTCGCTGACCACCCGATCCATTAAGACACCTCCAATTCTACCTCGGGCCACACTGGCATTATTGTGAAGTGAATAACGCTTGTAAAGATCAGGTTCAAGTAAAGGTGTTTTTCTGTTTTAAGCCAAAGTTAAAGCTGACCACTCAGAAGACCCTTTCAACGACAAAAAGAAAACGAAATGCTAATATTCGTTACCATACAAAGAGTAATTGAAACACCAAATGCTATATATGTATATACTTCCAGAATTCTTCGGCAGCTGTGTGATATACGGTTTTATTTGTTCCCCAGCTTATGCCAAATGATGTGACGTTGTGTGCAGTGAATGTCAAGTTGACAAGGGTCCTATGTGTTTCTGTGCTGTTTCCAACTGAAATGGAAAAGAGCATACTTGTAACCCATTCATTTTTTACAATTCAACTCTTGATATTCTTTGTATTGTAAAGAACATTTAGAAATAGCTACACTGATTTGTTTCCGTGAAACCAACTTTTACATTACAAGAAGCATAATGTCAATGTAGTGGTTTTTTTAAGTACTTTGCAAAGCTGCCAAAATGTTTTTGAGACATTTTTCTTCATCTTGAAAAAAGATAAAACGGCTTCTTTGCATATATTAACAATACCCCAGTCACCACCTTAGATTAAAGGTTTGTGCTCATATATCAATACTTGCAAACTTTGAGAAATAACTGTTTAATTTGCAAGAATTTCAAAACATAATGACATTGATGCTATTTGGTAGATTAAGCATATTAACCAGCATTAATTCCGATAATCAAGATAATTTATTTCATAAGACCAATTTACAGAAATATTCGAAAGGTGATATAGCCCTTTTAACACCACATCGTTGTAATGCTGGCGAGTATATTTATTTACATCCTTTGTGATTATGACTGCAATCTTGGTTTACCTTCAACGAACGGTTGTGTCAATGCTTCAACACTTTTGACACAGCTGTCGGTGTTCCAGGGATTGTGACAGTTTGCCCAGGGCAGGGCGGTACTACAGGCGAAGACTAAATAGTACACAGACCAGGCACAGTTTACAGTGTAGTACAAGGCAGAACCGCCGGACATAATCAACATGCCGATTCCAAGACCTGATACAAACATACCATATGATAATCTTGTTCCCTTATAATTTGTATGATAATGTATACGCATATATTATTGCTGCTATTGGTATGAGAAAGGAGTTTATACTCTGTCGTTTAAAGATGTACAGAGAAATATTATAATGGACAACATTTAGTGATGGGTGGCTCTTTGGAAATACATTTGACGATTTCGTTTTGTGTTTAGTGAATATTCTAGAAAATCAGATGAGACAACAGATCTTATCCTATCCAGGCGAAATTTGTGAGATGTTGAAGAATGATGTTTCTTTCAACGGAAAGTTTAGTTGTATGGAGTCATTTAGTGGTCAAACAGCCACAATGAGAAGCTCACCTTTCATTAAAGGACACACACTCCACACATGGGCTGCACCCTTGCCACGAAACTGTCCAATGGCAACTTCAAGATAGAACAGAGGCAGGCCACATAACGTCATACACGCGATGTAAGGGATGAGAAATGCACCTGGAAATAAATAAGTGATAATTGGTCTCTGCCTCCTATATATTGCTGAATATGCGACTTTGTGGTAAAATGTTGGTATTCCGCTTGTCTTGAACGTCGGATGGCTTGATATTACAGTATTTCAAATGGTCTCATGTCTCTGAGTTAACGTTTTGCACAGGAAATATATAGGATCATTATGGGGGATCATTTGAATTCAAAACGTACGTCAGTGCGATAGAAAAATCAATCCCGATTATCAGCCGAAAAGATTTCAAAGAGCGGAAAAGGCAAAATGATGCTGAAGATTATATGAATGGAGCAAGGTGTTCTCGTAACGGGCATGTCGAGCTCTCCCGGTAGCACCCGCCACTCACACAATTTTCATTAAACAGATGATGTTGTGTGTACATATTTTTAAAATAACTGAACACCCGTTGGGAACTGCTTGACTATTGTTGAGTGTGCTAAAACATATCAAACAATCTAAGCGAACAAACAGCATGGCATATTGGCTTTGGATACTCTTATGGCGTTAAAGAACACACGATGCACAAATCATTACAGTAGACATGTATCATGTAGTAAAAATACCATCTGTAGTGGTTTCTCAATTGCCGTTTCCGTGCACCACGTTTAACAATAAATGAGCGCTCATAATGATTCTGATCCACACTTTCATACGCATTAAACAAATACATATGACAACTGTTCATAGAAATAGTTCGATGGTAGGTATTCCTGTTCAAGTAGCAATGAGCGTGCATGTTTATGTGTAAAACTGTACAAAAATAGATTATTATGTACGTACCTCCGCCGTTTCTAATGCAGATATAAGGGAATCGAAGCACGTTTGAAAAGCCAACAGAGAATCCGACAACCGATAACAGGTACTCAACTTGTGAACCCCAGCGTCCCCTCTTCTCCCCCTCCTGCTGGTGAGATTGGGGGCTGTTCACTACATCAGTCATTGGAATCATCTCTGCCCGTCGCAGTTCTTCATTGCATTTAACATCCATTTTCTGAAATACCGTTGTATGCTATTATTTCGAAGAGTCCTCCACTCCGTTTATTACCTATTTAAATAAACATATAATACGATACATACCACCAGCAGACTACGTACACAGCTGGTGCTGCTACATATATTTTACATATGATGATTGTCCATATTGCAACACATGACATCGAGACATCACATTTTGCCTAACATAATACTGTACCTAATGTCCTAGCCCCACGAGCCACATCTCATGGGTGTACATGTTCAATGATATCTATTTAATTTGTGTAAACGTGAAATATGTTGTTTGATAACCACAAATGAATAATATCATTTTATAAGAAATATGGGATTAAATATAATAAGATAACAATTAAAAAAAGATTTATGGTGACACAGATATTTGTTTGTAAAATGAATAGACCATAACGTGATGTTTATTGTTAATCCGGTCGGGTGATTGACGTAAATTATAGTTATTGCTTAAAATCTAAATAATCTCCCATTTTTGAAACTTTTTACGTTTCATCTTCGCAGAATCTACAAGACTCAGAGAGCTGATATTTTGGAACCTATGTACCACTACAATAATACCTTATTTCCGATTAACTCCTTTACTAAATAGGGTAGAAACCATGGATTCCTGGCACCTGTAAAAAATGATAATAACTTGGAAAAGAATGACTGTGGTCATTTGAGCTTCATATGTTGTGGCATGGTGTACTTTCTATGTTCATCATCTAAGTGTCAAATTCAACAAGAGGTAAATTTAAGTGTCTTATGATAATAATTGTGTTAGTTCATTACTTCTACACATTTGTGCTCTGCAGTCCTATGTACGTGACATACAATTTCAGCGTGTGTACTATACAGTCCTATGGACGTGATATACCTTTCCACGTGTGTACTATACAGTCCTATGAGCGTGACATACCTTTCAGCGTGTGTACTATACACTCCTATGGACGTGATATACCTTTCCACGTGTGTACTATACAGTCCTATGAGCGTGACATACCTTTCAGCGTGTGTACTATACACTCCTATGGACGTGATATACCTTTCCACGTGTGTACTATACAGTCCTATGGACGTGACATACCTTTCAGCGTGTGTACTATACACTCCTATGAGCGTGACATACCTTTCAGCGTGTGTACTATACACTCCTATGAGCGTGACATACCTTTCCACATGTGTACTATACACTCCTATGAGTGTGACATACCTTTCCACATGTGTACTATACACTCCTATGAGCGTGACATACCTTTCCACAGGTGTACTATACACTCCTATTAGCGTGACATATCTTGCCACAGGTGAACGATACTCTCCTGTGAGCGTGACATACCTTTCCACAGGTGTACGATACACTTCTGTGAGCGTGACATACCTTTCCACAGTTGAACGATACTCTCCTGTCAGCGTGACATACCTTTCCACAGGTGTACGATACACTCCTGTGAGCGTGACATACTTTCCACATGTGTACAATACACACCTATGAGCGTGACATACCTTTCAGCGTGTGTACTATACACTCCTATGACCGTGACATACCTTTCCATGTGTACTATACACTCCTATGAGCGTGACATACCTTTCCATATGTGTACTATACACTCCTATGAGCGTGACATACCTTTCCACAGGTGTACTATACACTCCTATGAGCGTGACATACCTTTCCATATGTGTACTATACACTCCTATGAGCGTGACATACCTTTCCACAGGTGTACTATACACTCCTGTGAGCGTGACATACCTTTCCAGAGGTGCACTATACACTCCTGTGAGCGTGACATACCTTTCCACAGGTGTACGATACACTCTTATGAGCGTGACATACCTTCCACAGGTGTACGATACACACCTTTGAGCATGACATACCTTTCCACATATATACTATACACTCCTGTGAGCGTGACATACCTTTCCAGATGTGTACTATACACTCCTGTGATCGTGACATACCGTTCCACAGGTGTACGATACACTCCTATGAGCGTGACATACCTTTCCACATGTGTACTATACACTCCTATGAGCGTGACATACCTTTCCACATGAGTACTATACACTCCTATGAGCGTGACATACCTTTCCACAGGTGTACTATACACTCCTGTGAGCGTGACATACCTTTCCACATGTGTACTATACTCTCCTATAAGCTTGACATACCTTTCCACAGGTGTACTATACACTCCTGTGAGCGTGACATACCTTTCCAGAGGTGAACTATACACTCCTGTGAGCGTGACATACCTTTCAACATGTGTACTATACAGTCCTGTGAGCGTGACATACCTTTCCACATGTGTACTATACACACTTATGAGCGTGACATACATTTCCACAAGTGTACTATGAACTCCTATGAGCGTGACATACCTTTCACATGTGTAGGATACACTCCTATGAGCGTGACATACCTTTCAACGTGTGTACTATACAGTCCAATGAGCATGACATACCCTTCACATGTGTACCATACACTACTATGAGCGTGACATACCATTACCCATGTGTACTATACACTCCTATGAGCGTGACGTGACATACCTTTCCACAAGTGTACTATTCACTCCTATGAGCGTGACATACCTTTCACATGTGTATGATACACTCCTATGAGCGTGACATACCTTTCAGAGTGTGCACTATACAGTCCTATGAGCATGACATACCTTTCACATATGTACTATTCACTCCTATGAGCGTGACATACTTTTCACATATGTACGATACACTCCTATGAGCGTGACATACCTTTCAGCGTGTGCACTATACAGTCTTATGAGCGTGACATACCTTTCAACGTGTGCACTATACAGTCCTATGAGCCTGACATACCTTTCAACGTGTGCACTATACACTCTTATGAGCGTGACATACCTTTCCATGTGTGCACTTTACAGTCCAATGAGCGTGACACACTATCCCCAAGTTTACTATACACTCCAATGACGGTGACATACCTTTCCACAAGTGTACTATACACTCCTATGTGCGTGACATACCTTTCCACAAGTGTACTATACACTCCTATGAGCATGATGTACCTCTTCACGTGTGTTCTCTGCAGCTCTATGGACGTGACATACCTTTCAACATATATGCCCGGAGGTATCCGATGATTGTAGCACTGTGAAGGTACATTGGGTGTCTATTGACAAGGGTACGTTATGGGAAAAGACATACCCGGGGGTGTCCGTTGGTTGGAGAAGGCTAGGGAGAGACCATATAGATGCCATGTCATAAATCTCTAGGAGACGGACTTCATCTTATTGCACCTTAACATATACCTTATGTAACTGAACTTTAAGATTTATAGCTCAAATACAGTTTCCATCTATTTTGTCACAAGAAGTTTGCACATTATTTTGTGACATATGGTAGTATAACGCACGGTTAATGTCCGAAGCAAACGGGTGAAAGATAATCTTGATATGAATTGTTTGTTGGAAAATTATTAATGTTGCTGTCAGGTTAAATTAAACGTGTAACACGTGTTAACATGTGTTGCAGTCATGATGCGGTTGTTATTTGCTGATTAGTGTGCAATCATGCCAGTTCTTACATTCAAAGCCAATCGAGGTTAAATCTGTGGAAAGTGGGTTCTAGAAGTAATTTAGCGAAGTCCAGTATTGGTGTGGTCCTCAAAGGAGGTCCTCTGCGTAAGGCCAAAATGTGGTATTATTTGAATAATGTTATATCAATTACAAGCTTTAAAAATACCTTAGTTTAGTCTTTTCATCCAGAATGATTCGGTCTGTTCCTGTGAACCTCTAGCTAAACAAGCGAAACGTATATGGGGCAGAAATTTGGGTGTTCAAGTACAGAAAAAATATTGAGAAAGTGCAAGCTTACTATATAAATGATTTGCTGGAGTAAAATATAGTTTTGCGTTAATGTTGGAGACGGTTTCTTGTTGCTACTTACACAAAATGTTATGGATATTGGTGTTAACTTATGAAATTGAAACGGACGTTATCCAAATAAAAGCGACAAAATTCTTTCCATAATCATAATAGTGAGTGAGTATGCTTTTTCGCCGCTTTTAGCAATATTCCAGCTATATTACGGCGAGGGATACCAGAAATGGACTTCACACATTGTACCCATGTTGGGAATCGAACCTGGGTCTTCGGCGTGACGAACAAACGCTTTAACCACAAGGCTACCCGACCGTCCCCATAATCATAAGAAATCTCTACAAAATGAATTTTTCAATATGCGTAAATGACCCGATGATGTCGGCAGTTTGAATTGGGCTTCTTGTTTTGGAGGTCTTCTTTTTCAGACAGAACTTGTATTTACCTGGATTACGCAGTTGGCGCAGTTTAGGCATTTATTGATCTATTTCAGCAAAGATGCAAAGATACAGCGACTAAAATGTGAACAGTAAAATCATGGAAACAGATATTTCAAAGAGTTATTCTTCCTACTAATCACTTCTTACACCAGAGAAATATAGTTCATGGTTTAAACAGAAAGTTTAAAAAAGGTTGCGAGGTTGCAATATGTGACCAGAAATACATCTAGAAGGTTTTCTTGAAACATATTGTAAATATAAAACGTCAACACCAGAGAACGACCAGTCTGACGAAACAAATTCCACTAGGCGTAACATATCAATGAAAACGGGTTTTGAAGACCTATTCTCACCCGAATCTTCACGGGTCCCTGAACATTTGATATAAATATAAATGTATGTATGGTCACCGCGTTTTGTAACACAAGCCCTTTGGATTAGGGAATAAGTTTTTTCTTAAGTTTGTCGTGTGGGATAGTGGTGTAAATAGTTGAAAAGTAAAATGTTTTTACGTAATTGAACATGAGATTGTAAAAGGTCAAGAAAATCCTTTGAGTTTTGAGAATCCACATGGTATTAATCCACTTGTCTCAAATACTTTCAGAGAATATAAAGACGGGCCTTTCTTGATTGTATAATCTATGCGACAGGGATTTGGAGGTTCATTGTGGAAG